CTTCCTTGCCAATCTGGATGCCTTTTATTTCTTTGTGTTGTCTGATTGTGGTGGCAAGGATCTCCAGAACTATGTTGAATACAAGTGGGGAGAGTGGGCATCCTTGTCTTGTTCCCAACCTTAGAGGAAAAGCTTTCAGCTTCTCGCTGTTAAGTATGATGTTGGCTGTGGGTCTGTCATATGTGGCCTTTATTATATTGAGGTACTTGCTTTCTATATCCATTTTGTTGAGAGTTTTTATCATGAATGGATGTTGAATTTTGTCAAATGCTTTTTCAGCATCTATGGAGATGATCATGTGGTTTTCATCCTTCTCTTTGTTGATGTGGTAGATGATGTTGATGGATTTTCAAATGTTGTACGATCCTTGCATCCCTGGAATAAATCCTACTTGATCATGATGGATGATCTTTTTGATGTATTTTTGAATTCAGTTTGCTAATATTTTCCTGAGTATTTTTGCATCTATGTTCATCAGGGATATTGGTCTGTAATTTTCTTTTTTTGTGGTGTCTTTGCCTGGTTTTGGTATTAGAATGATGCTGGCCTTGTAGAATGAGTTTGGGAGTATTCCCTCCTCTTCTTTTTGGAAAACTTTAAGGAGGATGGGTATTAGGTCTTCACTAAATGCTTGATTGTAACTAATCTACCAGAGACTAGTCAACAGGAAAATAATATCAGGCACCAAATCATATGTCATCAGGGAAATGCAAATTAAAATGAGTACCACTACATACCTAATACAACTGCCAAAATCTAGAATACTGACAATATCAAATGGTGACAAGGATGTGGAGCAACAGAAACCCTCACACATTGCTGGTGGGAATGCAAAATGTTGGGAGACAGTTTGGTGGTTTCTTACAAAACTAAACATACTCTTGCCATGAGATCCAGCAATCATGCTCCTTGGTATTTACCCAAATGAACTGAAAACATATCCACACAAAAACATGCACACAGATGTTTACAGCAGTTTTGCTCATAGTTGCCAAAACCTGGAAGGAACCAAGATGTCCTTCAGTAGGTGAGTGGATAAAAAAACGGTGGTACATCCACACAATGGAATATTATTCAGTGTTAAAGAGAAATGAGCCATCAAGCCGTGAAAAGATATGGAGGAATCTTAAATGCATCTTACTAAGTGAAAGAAGCCAATGTGAAAAGGCTCTATGATTCTAACTCTGTGATATTCTGGAAAAGGCAAAACTATGGAGACAATAAAAGATCAAGAGTTTTGGGGGAAGGGAAGGGATGAATAGGCAGAGTACAGAGGACATGTAGGATAATAAAAAATATTCTGTATGATACTATAATTGTGGATACATGTCACTAAACATTTGTCCAAACGTACAGAATGCACACCCCCAAGAGTGAGGCCTAATGGGAACTAAGGCCTCTGAGTGACCAAGATGTGTCACTTGTAGGTTCATCGATTGTTAACAACTGCCCCCCTCTTGTGGAGGGGGGCTGCTAGTGTGGGAAGCTGTGCATGGGACAGGCAGGGAAATCTCTGTACTTTCCTCTCAATTTTGCTGTGGCTCTAAAACTGCTCTAAAAAAATGAAATCTTTAAAATAAGATTTCTAAAATGGTATCAGGCTGGCCTCTCGGCTCTAACAAGGACATGTTAAAAGTGAATACTAGTAATGCCATTCAGTCTTAAGGAAATTCTGACACATGGTACCACATAGATGACCTCTGAGGACATTATAAGTGAAAGTCAGACACAAAAGGATTAAAGACATATGATTCCACTCGGAGTGGTCAGAATCACGGAAGTAGAAGGGGTGGTGGCCCGGGCTGGGGGAGGGCACAATGTGGGGTCAGTGTTCAAGGGGTATTAAGAGTCTCAGTTTGGGAAGATGAAGAGGGTTATGGGATGGATAGTAGTGATGGCCACGCAACAGTGTGAATGTGTCTGCCACCACTGAACTGTACACTTAAAAATAGGTGAGATGGTACATTTTATGTGTATTTTAACACCATAATAATTAAATAAATAAACAGGTAAAATATCTCGATGAGGAGAGGGTGGAAAGTGAGATTATTTCTATATGCATTATTTATGGCTGAAAAATAGAAAACTGAGTCAGACTATATATAGCCTCTGCAAAACATCCACATAAAGCAGAAGAGGTGGCTTTTAAGCAAATCCCATAAAAAGGAAAAAAAAAAAACCAAAGGTCTGTAACAATCTAGTCTTAACACACGTGGTGCTCCTGGCAGGGTGCCTGGCCCGTGTGAACACTGGCTGCTTGTGATTGCAGTTCTCCTACCCCAGCCTCTGAAAGGGGGAGTCGTGGAACACGTCAGCTCGTGCTGGATGGCAGCCCACTCCAATGCGCTCTGGAGGGGCCACACAGTCCCTGCTACAGTCACGAAGCAGCCAGAACAGGAAGGGCCAGGCTTGGTGGTCTTGGAGGAATCTGCTGCCTCCCATCCATCTCGATCCTGTGGGCTAATCTGGCAGCACCCCAGGACAATGGATTGTTCTCAAAGAGAATGGAGACACCTTTGTCGGAGAAACTATGGAGAACCTGAAGGCAAAGATTGAAAATGCTGAAAGAAATCAGTCACAAGAGACCACATATTGTATGATTCCATTCATAGGAAATGTCCAGAACAGAGAAATCTATACAGACAGAAAATAGGTTGCCAGGAGCTAAGGGGGGCAGGAGGAGGAGAAATGAGGAATGACTGCTGGGAGGTGGTGGGGGGGGGGGCCTTAAAAGTCACTGTGGAGATGGTTGCACAGCTCTGGGAATATACTAAAAAACACTGAACTGTACGCTTTAAACGAGTGAATTGTGTGGTAGGCGAATTATATTTCGATAAAGCTGTTATTAAGAACAAGTAGTTGCCTTGGCTCTGAACTTATGCGTTGGTTCCTCCAAGAACCCCCGAGCTGCGACCATCTCTTTACTAAGACTGCACTCATTTCACAGTAGTGTTTTAAAAGCTTTTCTCAATGCCCAGAGAGGGCCCTTGGATGTCCATGCAAAGGCTTCCTAGGGATTCTTATCTATTTAGAAGAGGGAAATGAGTATCAAAAGCCTAGCTTTCTCGGCTAGCCAGGTCCCCTTGTTAAGTTCCTTGTCTGCACGTTGCTATGGCAACGGAGCGCTTCCACTGAAAGCTTTTGGGGGGTGCGTCCAAAGAAGGCTGCAGTCTGGACCAGGGTGGTTTGCAGCCCCTCTGCCCAGCAGCCCCCAGGTAGCAACCTACCAGTTGGTGTCTCACTGATGGAAGCTGAGGAAGGGGCAGCCTGGAATCTGGGGAAGCAGGGAAATCTGAGAAGCGGGAAGATGCAGAGTGACTGCATGGCCCCCCCTAGCGGCCACCGCGTCACCTCACCGGGCAGGAAGAGGAGAGGGTGTTAATCACATCTCTTAGAGGCTGTGATCTAAAATGGCATCTTAAGCACCTGAGCCAGTCTGCATGTCAACATGAACATATTTTTAGGCAGAAGTAGGCGGCTTCTCATTAAACAGCCGGGGAAAGGCGGTCGGTAACTGGGAGCCCACCGCTCTCACAGGTGAGTATCACGTCTGCAGAAGTTCCCTGCCTGGAGGCCCTCCCAAGACTCAGCCACATGAAGCCAAAGGGGGCTGAAGTCCACGCTGTGGGCTGGTGGGCAGAGCCGTTGGGACTGAGAAGGCGCGAGCACAGTGGGTGAACAGTAAGCAGCTTCCAAGATGGACCTTAGCGATTTTCACCTCCTGGTGAACTTAGGTGGTCCTCTCTCAGGCTATACCAAGATTGGTCCGTGTTGTGACCCACAGAGTTCAGAAGAGGTGACAAGTGTGACTTCTGAAGCTAAGTTGTAAAAGACACTATGCTTTTAGATCACTCACATTGGCGGAAGCCAGCCGCCATGTTTTAAAGATACTCAAGCAGCCCTATGGAGCAACTCACACGGAGAGAACTGAAGCCCCTGGCCACCAGCCAGCACCAACTTGCCAGCCCCGTGAGCGAGCCACCTTGGAAATCAACCCCCAGCCCAGTCAAGCCTTCAGATGACCATAGCTCCAAGATATTACATGTTTATTACTGTGTTAAGCTGCTGAATGTGGGGGTTGTTACACAGTAATGGATAGCTGATAAGAGAGTAGATCCAGATGCCCCCTAGGATAGCCAGAAATTGTCTTGAGAAGAGAAGATGGTTTTATTAAAAATTTTTCTCTCCTTGCTCCCCACTCTGTTCCCCAACACTTTTACATAAGAAAGTTATACGGGAAGTTGAGATTGGGTGGGTGGGTAGGGAAGGAGGGAGAAGGGGATTAAGGGACATTATAATTAGCACACATAACATGGGGGGGGCACGGGGAAGGCCATACAGCACGGAGAAGACAAGTAGTGGCTCTATGGCATCTTAGTACTCTGATGGACAGTGACTGCAATTGGGTGTGGGGGGGGATTGATAATATGAGTGAATGTAGTAACCACAATGTTGCTCATATGAAACCTTCGTAAGATTGTACATCAATGATACCTTAATAAAATAAAAAGAAGTGATGTGTTGAGAAGGAGTCTAGAGACTTGGATTTATGTCCTGGCTCTGTCCTTTCCCTTTAATTCAGTTTCCCCAACTCTGGAACTGAAGAGTGAAAATGTAACCTGTCAGCTCTGAAATCATCGGGTCTCACAGTGGTTAAAACTCTAAGTTTTCACTCAGGAACACTGGTTGTGAACCCTGGCTCTGCCTCTTGCTTGCTTTGTGACTTCAGGCTAATTGCTTAACTTCTCTGAGCCTACGTTTCACCTTCCACAAAGTGGGCTTAATGATACCTACTTTGTGGCATTGTTACAAAAACCCAATACAATAATACCTATAAATTATTTAGTTCAGAGTAAGTGCTTAATAAACGGTAGTTACCACTACTAACAATGAGATAGCATGACAGGTANCTGTTTGTAATAGAGAAGGACTGGAAATTATCCATATGACCATCAATAGGTAAATGGGAACTAAATTGTAAATGGAATACTATATGGCAATGTAAAATTAATGAACCAAAATCACATGTATCAATATGAATATAAATCTCTAAAATAGAATGCTGAGCCCCAGAAATGCAGAGGGATATACAGAATATATATATATAATGTGTACAAACATGCAAAACTCCATTATATATTATTTAGGAATATATACATCTGGGTAAAAAGCAAGAAGCCATGCATATGTTTAACAGGCATCAAATTCAAAGTGGTGGTCACATCTGGGAGGGAGGGAAGGAAATGGGATGGGGTAGGGGATGCCCTGTGACTTCAGTGCATTGGTAACATGTAAAATGACATGAGATTTCTTAAACTAGGTAGCAGGCACACAGGTATCCATTGTTACCTCTACCTTCTCGCTGCCTGAAATATTTCATAATAGAAAATATCTAATACAATTGTGCATTCAAATTTTCTTCTTCCTCTTGGTCATCTGTACCTTCTCTATTATGATCCCATCTTGCTTTTAAGAAATAAAGTAGTTGGCTATTTAACAAGAAAAAAAGGAGTTATGTTTAATTTTTGACAGTAAGAAATATCCCTTCCCCAAGTGACTTGCTCTGAGAACAACACTTACTTGCATGTCTGAAATCCAATATATCGGTGAAAATCAATTCAACACTGTACAACAGGAGGATCATCCAGAGTCCAGAACACGAACCATCAGCCCAGGGACACCTATTCAGGGTCTCTTGCAGATGCCTCAGAAGCTAGGCTTGACCCCACAGGGTACGCACGATGAAGATTAATCAGAGGTCTAGGGACCTCTTCTTCTGCAGCTTTAAGTTAGGACAAAAATAAATCCAAGCAGGCTGGGAAATGAGAGGGATTTGGGAGTGAGGGAGAAGGGAACTGGGGGTGCACATTCTTTTAAGTGAAGTTGAGTCATTCTGGAGCCATTTAACACAGCCTCAAGTTGGGGAGTTTTGTGTTTCCTAAAGCACTAGAAATGGGCTCTGCCAGCAAGAAGCACTTGACTGCTGTTTCTTAAAGACGCATAAGGGTTTTTGTTTTGTTTTGTTTTGTTTTGTTTTGTTTTGTTTTGTTTTGTTTTGTTTTGCATAATGGACACGTTTCCCATGCAGTCAATTTCCAGGTTCTTTGTCAAGTGCCAAGGTAAGCTTTTAGACAATTCCTCCATGGGCCATGGGGACGCAATTTCCACCCAGTACAGAATGCTTTAAGATGAAGAAAGCCAACTTTTCAATATTGCTTCAGGGACCATATTTTGTGCTTCAACACAGCTGAATGCAGACAAAGTCAAAAAGGAAAATTGAGTGCAATCTTTTGACAAGGGAATTGAATGAAAGTAACGCAATGGATCACTGCCCCCTGGTGGCCAGACAGTGGTGCAATCATTTGCTGAGAGTCATTCGTGTTGTTTCTTCCTGTGTTCCCCAGCCACCATCTCCTGCATTTTAGAAGCCTAAAAGAGGGATTACAACCTGGCAGCCAGCGGGCAGATTTACCAACTGTTCAAACATTTGGAGGTTTGCTTAAAAATCTAGGTCTGAGATTTCTTTTGAAAAATTGGAAATCTGTCAACTTTTGGATTATATCCCAGCACAGAAAATGGAGGCTAGACTGAGAAATTGCTGCCCACTATAGACAAGGAAGCTGCTCTCACATTCTCTACACTCCCCACCACTCCCTACTGATCACTCCTGGCAGTTTTATTCATTAGCCGATCTTGTGTAGCTTCTGGATTTGCTGCCTGTGGCCTAAACTCACTAAAGAGAGTCCCAAGGAGTGGAAAGAGGATGGTGCCTTTAAAAGCAGAGTATATCACCTTGTGCCTGGGAGGGGACAGAAGTCCACAAGGCCCATGATACCCAGTTCAGTGAGCATAAGTGACTTGTGCAAGCTCACCCAGACAATGAATAAGTGGTATGCCCTGCATTTAAACACACTTTTTCAGTGCTTGGCACTCCACCATCTCCCATAATTCACTGGTTGCACAGCACAGCAAGCCCTCCTCTGGGATAGGTGGTTACGTTACTGCTTTAGCTATCAGAAGTGAAATTCAGGAAACTCCAGGAGAACAATGTTCAAGGCCTTTGTTCAAAAGACAGAAATAAGAAGTCTCAGAAATAACTATCCTGATTTCGTGTCTTAAAAACTCCCTGGTTTGTCCTGCTTCAGATATTTCTTATTCAAGTCAACAAAATTTCTTGAGCATCTACTATGTGATTACTCTATTTCTTGAGTATCTACTCCATGCCAAGGGCTGGGATTTGGGGGAATTAGGGGCCAGTTAGATATAAACAGGGAGTCCAACCAGCAAGGGCCAAAGCTGTTTTGTCCCTCATCTTGAAATGTCTCCTCTTGGTGTCTTTAATGACAGCACATCTCTGGCCTGCACCTAGAACCAAGTGCCTGAACCCATGGAGAAGCCCCTCAGACTTCTCATTAACAAATCAAAGAGAAGCCCAAGGCTCTGAGTTACGTGCTGATCCAGATGTGGAAATCAGTTTATGCTGTTAAGGATTAAGGGAAGGGGAGTTTGCGGTAACAAAGTAAAGCAAACGCTATATAAATTAACAAGGTAAAGCAAATTCTGTAATAAGCATAAATTAGTCACAGGATCCTTTGCTCCCCCTCAAAAGGTGCAGATAAAGTCTTAACACAGGTATCCTCCAGATGTTCTGCAGGAACTCAGACAACCTGCTGACCACACACACAGAGATCCCAGACTGTTGGAGCCAGGAAAATGACAACTAAGATTCCTGAAATAATCCCATTATCTCAACATTGACCAATCAGAAGAATGTGCACAAGCTGATCATATACTCTGCAACACTTACTCATAATTTTGCCCTTAAAAACCCTTGCTTGTAAACCAGCAGGGAGTTCAGGACCTTAAGCGTCAGTGTCCCGTTCTCCTTGCTTGGTGCCTTGCAATAAACCCACCTACCTTTCTTTCACTACAGCCCGGTGTCAGTGCTTGGCTTGCGGTGCATCAGGCAAACAGACCTGAGTTTGTCTGGTTTGATAACAGGCCTGACACTTCCTTTTATAATGTGGGTCAGTGGCTTCTCCGAACTGGAATCTACGAGATCTATGAAAGGACAATGAGGTCTCTCCCCAGCGGCTGGAGCAAACTATAGCTTTGACAGTTTCTTTGCAGATAATAAATAAAACGGCAACGCCTTGGTATCTGTTCTTAGGACTCATGGCAACAGCAGATACTCATGAAGTGTTTGCTCTATACCAGATGTGTACGATCTCACTTTGACCTCGCACAGAATCCAAATGGCAGAGCTGGGACTTGAACCTAGGGCTGTGTGGCTCTGATGGTGACGCCCACAGCCACCGCTTGGTAATGGCTCCCAGGGGGAATGTGTGTCATGGAGGAGGTCAGATCTTGAAGCATCAGGCTTTCTGCAAATACCAAACTGGAGGCTAAAGGCGAGGTTAGCTGTTTATCCCTCAATTTACAAATGGGGAAATTGAGGCATACAGTAACTTGTTCAAGATCACACAGCGAGTAGGTGACAAGTCTGAATCTGAGCCCGGGTCACTGACTCCACAATCCGTATTGCTAATGTCTTAATGCTTAGCATTTCTGGCTGGTCCTGGAAATTTAATTTCAATATTCATGAATTAAGATGGAGGTTTCAGGTCTCTGATTCAAGGAAAAATCTTCTATATATCCGGGGATCACAAGAACCAAGCAGGTCCTTTTTGAGAAACTGAAGATTAAGAAGTCAGAGAGGAAAAGGGAGAGACGCTGAGAAAAAAGGGAGATGGTAGCACTGGTAACACAGGGTGGAGGGTAAGAACTGAGGCTGTGAAACCAGACTCACAGGGTGGAGTGGGGTAACCATCAGCATTCTCTCTACACCTAAGGAAACTGAGGCTCAGGAGAGCGGCACCGGGCAAGGAGACCTGAGGGAGGGGCAGCAGTTCTGGGCGGACGCAATTGCGAGTTCCCCGAGCTGACACCTACCTCGCACGACAACCGCAGCAGCGCTGGATTTTCTGCACCCGCTACTCCCGCCTTCCGTCAAGGCCCCACCTCCTCCTGTTGCCGATTAGCTGCTTCGGGCACGAGACCAACACTGGAGCCAGCCAATGGGAGTGGCCCACGGCGCGTCTTTCCCGGGGAAGCAGACGCAGGCGCGGGAACCCGGAAATGCGAGGGGCGGGCAAGTAGGGGAAGCCAATCCGCTGGGACGGACGACTGGTCATCCAATGGCGAGGCCAGAGGGCGAGGCCAGAAGGCCTGCGGTGGAGGAGGTCCTGGGAGACAGCAGCCTCGGATCCTGCGCCCGCCGGGAAGGCGGCGGCAGGGGTGAGGAGGGGACGAGCTCCAGGAGCTCGGAAGGAATGAACCGGGGAAGGTACCGCGCGGCAGGGTTCGGAAAGGGCAGGCTGCATGGAGTGACCTTAGTCCAGTCCCTCGCCTCTCTGGGCCTTCCTCCCCTTCCTTAGGGTAGCGAGAGGTGAGACTCGCACCACCCGGGACGCTGCATCCTTCCTCGGAATGCAGCGTCACTGGCGAACTCCAGCCTTGCCGAGGAGCCTGTCCCTCGGGGAGCCCGCTCGGACCTCCTGGACAAAGTAGTGACCCACACCCTCTTCCTTACCCCGTTAGAACGCGTACCAAGCCGCTCGGATGTTCAGTACCAGCGAACCAGGCTCCCCAACTAGGCTCTTAACGCCCTCAGCGTTCAGAAACCTCGTCAGTCATTTCTGGGTCTCTAGAGGCCCAGCACCACTAGCCCAGGGCAGGTGCACGGTCCCTGGTTATGAAGACAAAGGCTGAGACCTGAGCACTCTGAACCGAAGCGCACTGGGGATTCTTTCCAGATGCCTCTATTTACTCCGTTGGCCTTCTGGAAGTTGACTTACCTCTCCTTAAGTTTCCCTTGTCTGTAACATGGAGCCGGGGTGGCTTTCCTTCACAAGGTGGTGAGGGTTGAGCATGGCTGACCGCTCTGCTCAGCACCCCATGGTTGCCCAGTAAATCCTTACTGTTAGCATAATGGGCTTGCATACCTGACCCCTCCATTCCCACTGCCAGCCACAAGCATATGCCCACTGTCACAGAGGGCAAGTGCTCACCCACTCTGCCACAGCCCAAGCTTTTAGGCAAGATCCCTAGTGGACGGGCCAGGAAAGGAAGGCCAGAAAGAGGACTGGCATGCTGGCTAGTATCAGGGTGAGAGTACAAAGAGGCAGCCACCCATATGGCAGTAAGTCCTAATACCACACATCACCAAACTGTTGTGTTTATCAAAGAGTAGGCCTAGGCCTCAGAACTGCGTTGGTGGATCTGGAAATGGGTATTTATTATTTATGTTCCAAACACCCCATGTTTGGGGTCAGAGGCCAGGGAGATTTGTGGTGGAGGAGGGAGACCTCAGAGCCATGGGTTCCTGAATTCAAGTCTTACAGCTGTCACTCACTGGGTGGCACTGGGCAAGGGACTTCACCTCTCTGAGCCCGTTTCCTCATCTAGAGAGTGGGATGACGAAAGCATCAGCTCCTGCTGAAGACTGCAAGAGATAGTATGTGTGAGATCCTTAATGCTTGGCACAGGGCCTGTCACACAGTAAGTGCTCAATAAATGTTGGGTGGCAGTGGCATTCCTTTTTAGTTATGCTGCTCTGGAAGTGGCACCAGTCCTCCCAGGCTGGCCCCTCTCCATTATGTCCACTCCTTGCCTTTCCATCACCCACTGGTTATAATGCATTAAGGGGTGTGGGATGGGCTCCAAGCCCCACCTGAAGTCATAAATGCATCTTTAATGTTCCTGTCTCATCTCCTACAACTCTTCCTTGCAGATTGTGCTCTTTCTTAGGGAACTGTGGGCACATGCAAGGGGCCCACTCGAGTCCAGATGACACTCATGCCGATGGCTTCAGTGATGGCCATGACTGAACCAAAATGGGTCTCAGCCTGGGGCCGCTTCCTATGGGTGACGCTGCTCAGCATGGTGCTGGGGTCCCTGCTGGCCCTGCTGCTGCCGCTGGGGGCCATGGAGGAGCAGTGTTTGTCCATGCTCAAAGGCTTCTACCTGCTCAGGAGCAAGTTGGACAGGGTGCAGCATGCCGTCACCAAGTACACCATCCCATCCACAGAGCTCAGTGTCACCTCCAGAGATGCGGTGCTGCTTATGGTCAAGACCAAGGCCTCTCCAGGTAAGGCTGGCCATCTCTCTTCAATGCTTGTTAATTCAATAGGTATTTAGAGTGCCTCCTATATCCTGTGTGCAGGGCACAGGGGTGTTATGAATCAGCCCTGAGCTCCCAGCCAAGACAGGTTAACAGGTGGCTGAAGTAGTGTCATGATGGGGAAGGAGAGGGGGGCCATGGGAGCACACCAGGAAGGCTCACTGGAGGCGGCAATGCCTAAGCTGAGACTGCAGTATGAGCAGGAGTGACCCAAGGGAAAAGGCACGTGGGGAGAGCGCTCCGGGCAGAGACCAGAGGGGAAGCAAGCCTGGGGGCGCTGGAGCTGGGCGGGGAGGGGGCTAGATCTAGAGCAGGGCACTGTCGTCCTCTGGGGGGTGTCCTGTGCACTGCGGATGTTGAGCAGCATCCCTGGTCTTACTCAATGGATGCCCGTAGCACATGCCCCTCACCTGTGACAACTTGTCTCCAGACACTGCCAGATGTCCCCTGGGGTGCAAAATTGCCCGCTTGAGGACCACTAGGTTCGAAGAATTAAAGAGCAGCCCAGGGATGGGAAACCCCCCCAGGTCTAGCACTAGTGGGGGCCCATGACCTGCAGGGGCAGGGACAAGCATTACCAGGAGTTGTACAGCCTCAGAGCAGCACAGCCACCCACTACAGCATTTGGAAGGCAGGGGCAGGGAGCCCAGATGTTCCCTCCCGGAGGACAGAGAATGGGTCCAGGGACAAATAGACAATAACCAGCATACTGCCCCATGGGCGTGAGGGGAATGATGTGTCCATATACATAGAGTGGTATCGGGCATGCTGCGGAGTGAGTGGTGTGGCTGGAATGACCCCCCAGGACCACAATTTCCCTGGGGAACCAGCACAGATGACCGCTCCCCTGAACGTCCTTTAACACTCCCTGCCCTCCCTGACAATGCTTCCTTGGCTCTTTTCTAGCTGGTAAGTTGGAAGCCAAAGCAGCTTTGAACCAAGCCCTGGAAATGAAGCGCCAGGGCAAGCGGGAGAAAGCCCACAAGCTCTTCTTGCACGCCCTCAAGATCGACCCGGACTTCGTAGACGCGCTCAATGAGTTTGGCATCTTTTCAGAAGAAGACAAAGACATCATCCAGGCGGATTACTTATACACCAGAGCGTTGACCATCTCGCCCTACCACGAGAAAGCACTAGTCAATCGGGACCGGATGCTCCCACTGGTAGAGGAGATTGACCAACGGTATTTCAGCATCATCGACAGCAAAGTGAAGAAGGTCATGTCCATCCCCAAGGGCAACTCTGCACTGCGCAGGGTCATGGAAGAAACATACTACCATCACATCTACCACACAGTAGCCATTGAGGGCAACACCCTCACCCTCTCAGAAATCAGGCACATCCTGGAGACCCGCTATGCTGTGCCAGGGAAAAGCCTGGAGGAGCAGAACGAGGTCATCGGCCTGCATGCAGCAATGACGTACATCAATACAACGCTGGTTTCCCGCATTGGGTCCGTCACCACCAGTGATGTGTTGGAGATTCATAGACGGGTGCTGGGTTATGTGGATCCTGTGGAAGCTGGCAGGTTTCGGACAACACAGGTCTTTGTGGGACACCACATCCCTCCCCATCCTCAAGATGTGGAAAAGCAGATGCAGGAGTTCATACAGTGGCTCAACTCTGAGGACGCCATGAACCTGCACCCAGTTGAGTTTGCAGCCTTGGCCCATTATAAACTCGTTTATATCCACCCTTTCATTGACGGCAATGGGAGGACCTCACGCCTGTTGATGAACCTTATCCTGATGCAGGCAGGCTACCCGCCCATCACCATCCGCAAGGAGCAGAGATCTGAATACTACGATGTACTGGAAGATGCCAACGAAGGCGACGTGAGGCCATTCATCCGCTTCATCGCCAAGTGTACGGAGACCACCCTGGACACACTGCTCTTTGCCACAGCAGAGTACCCAGTGGCGCTGCCAGAGGCCAAACCCAACCACTCTGGGTTCAAGGAGACACTGCCTGTCAAGCCCTAACCCTGTAAATCTGCATTTGGTGACAAGGGATGTCCCAGGGAGAAAAGAAATCAAAGAAACTTAGCATTTCTCAAAATCTAGTAGTCTCCCAAAGCAAAAGGAGACGGTAAGGAACTTACACATTCTGTACCTCCAAATGTTTTTAGTTAGAAAAACAAACTAAATTATTAAGCTTTGTCTCAAAGGTAACTTATAGTTCATCCAAGTTATTTATTTTCTCCTTTTAAGCTAGTAAACATAGTGTGGTGTCCACTGTCTGCTGGCGGTCCCTGTTCTTCGGATGGTCCCAGCAGGCCCTCGGAACATCACTGCTACTTGTGTGACCAGGACAGAGGTTCTGGAGCAGAATTTGCACTAAGGCGGGGAGAGGCCGGGAGCTGTGTGATGAGGTCCAAACCATAGGGTAACTCCTCCAAGTCTTTCTCTCAAACTGACTGAGATCAGCATTCCTGGGGAGAACCCAGGCCTGACCCAGTTGTGAAAAATGATTGAAAGCTAGCTTTCTTAAGGCATTTCTGCTCCCCTACAAAGAGATTAGCGTTGGGGCTAATTTTCTGTTAAAGCAATCTTTTGAGATATGAAATGAATGTTGCTAACATTTCTAGGTCGATACCTTGCTTATTTCAAGAAAGAGTCTTTGAGCCATACTTAGCTTGCAAACTAGTGCCAGAAGCTGTTATTTTTCCCTATCAAGACTATTTTTCTAATTAAGAATAGGGGAGTGGCCTGGCAGGTCTTACTTGTGTGTCATTGTTTCTCACACATCATTTGCAGAAACTCAGTCCAGATGCTTTAGTCTGAAAGTTCTCTGGGTTTGTTACCCAACAACTGAAACATGGTGTAAATCAGGTATTGCACAGGTGAGCAAGTCTACCCTACCGCCCCCCATCCCCCCAGTGTGACCCCTCCTACAGACGTTAAAGAACACATTTGAAAAAACATGCCACATCAACAGCAAAAGTATTTTTGACAATGAATTAAGAGTGCCAGTTTCTACTGAACCAAGAACCTCCGAATGATGTGTCCCTGTTGTCCTGCAGTTTTATCCACTCGCTGCCCCGACTCCCACCTCCCACAGCCATTGCACTGTGCTGTCCGGCACCCTTTGGGGAAGCAGAATAGAGTGCCTTGGAGAGGCCTTATTTTTCTAGCAACTTGTTAAATGATAAAATGTATGTAATATGGCCAAGGTCCCAAGCTGTCATGCTGCGTAAGTAGAATCTTCCCTTCCAATCACCCGTGGCACAGGTGCCAACCCGACAGCTGCTATTTCCAGTCTCAGTGGTTGGAAACCACTGGTTCCTTTTCCAGGGACAGAGCCAGTCATGTTTCTCACACTGACTGCTCTTTGTCAGTGTCTGAATGACGGTGACTATACAAAGTGCTGTCTGAGTTGAGAATTCAGATCCTGATAATGAGGTCATTATTCTGATGTAACAAGTGTTCATAGTTATTTAATTACGTAACAGTAGTTTCCTGAATAATTAAGTAAAAAAGTGTAGAGACATATGAAATGGTCCCAAGTGATGGTACCTTTATAAAAAATATTTTCATACTTGTATGCTGCCATAAGGTATTTCTTAAACCTTAAGTCTTCTATATTGGGTTTTCTAAGTCACAAAGCCTGACAGAAGTGCTTGCTTTGTTTTATAGAGAGAAATTTGCACTTTAGCTCTATGTGAAAGATAGTATTTTAACAAATTACTGACTAATAAAGTATTTTATTACATAAATGCCTAAGACTTTGCTATCATGATCAAGAGATGTTCCCATTTGTCATAAAGATGAAGGAAGGATTCCTCCTTCAGAACTTGAAGCCCTTTTTAAAATATTCTGGCAAAAGAACAGATCCAAGATAGTAATTTTAACAGGAACGTTAAGATAGAACTAGTTAGATAAGCTACCTACCTCGGTTGACAGGTGTGCATTACTGATCGTTCACTAATACTCAAGTGACTGAAGTGGTTTTTTTTGTTTCTACTTACCATCAGTTCTTGATTTTTCTGGGGAAAACACATAAACCCACTCATATTCCTGACAATCCATTTCTACCACAGTCAACAGCCTGAACCAAAACAGGGTCCTTCGTGCTCAAGTCTAAAAGGTCCAACTCTGTAAGGAGCCTATGTAGATACTTGAGAGTATGAAGTGGGAGGTCAGAGGACTAGTCAACAGCAAGAGAACAAAACCATTAAACATGATGCAGCAAAGAATAGACATTAATTAACCTTGGCTGATAGAGAAATAGCTGTGGCTCACGCGACCATCCCAAATCCTCTCAGCTTCCATGGGGAAGAAGTGAGTGGCTGGGAACAACCAAAACCACTGCTTAAATTTAACTCAGAAATAACATCTAACAAAAAATGTTATGTACGAAAGAGAAAGACCAGGTAGAGGGGAACCTGTAAGATTAAAAAACTTGAGATTTACCAACAATAACTTAACAGGGGTAAGACTGACATTTATGAATAGGAAATTTGATATTTGGGTAATTGATGACATTGAGGTATTATTGCTAATGTTTCTAGGAATAATGATAAAACTATGCACTCTAAGCCCTTACCTCTTAAAGATACATGCTATGGTGTTATTGGGAGAATGGAATGGACTATCCCTCAAATGTATCATGGAAAAGGGAAGGAGGTGGGGATACAGATGAAGGAAGATGGGCTAGGAGATGAGAAGAGCTGAAGCTTAAGGACAGACACGTGGAGTTTCTTTTACCATTCATTTTTATAAAGTTTAAAGTTTTCCATTAAAAAATTCAGTAAAGCCTAGCTAACTCACAGCAACTAAAAAAAGTAAGTGATTTCCATAATATATGAAAGAACTTCCTGGTTTTTTTTGCCCTAAAATACCTTTATATATAAAGTCAGTTTCCCTACTGAACTGGTAATGTTGCTTTCAAAGCAATGCCTATTTATTTGATAAAAGATGACAAGTAAAAAGCTTAAAAGCTGAAGTGTCCCACCGCTGCAAACTAAAGTTTAAAACTGAAGACACATCACAAAAATGATTTAAATCAAAGTGGCCAAAGGATCTGACTTACAAAAGTTCTATTTACACATCTGTTAGGTAAAGCAAGGAAACCCACTTCAAAATTACACCCATATTTGAATGCACATCCAAGTACCATCCCACAAGAAGATTTAAGGAGAAATTCAGTTTAATAAACAGCTAAATGAGGAAAGTTTAAGTTTGTACTTGACATGGCATTTAAACAAAACTGAAGAGCAACACCGGTCACTAGTCACTAGGCAAAGAAAATGGTCCACAGCAGGTGGCACACACAACTGCTATATAAAACAAATGTCACAAATATTTTGTTTTCAGGAAACAAAACAATGAGTTGATGTGTCATTTACAAATACATAATATAAAAACACACAGCCCCCTTGAACAAAAACCCATCAAATATTTATGTGACTTCCCTGTCCCCACCCCTTTACTAAAATAGGCCATTCTGGTGAATTACTAGCATCTGCTGTTATATCTTTTAAAAATTAAAAGAGTGGGTGGCACGTGTGCTCTGCAGGGTGTAAGAGGAGCGTCTTATAAAAGGGGCCAGAGGTGGCCAAAAACATTTGGACAAGTGGGTCTCAAAATGGTGGGTGTGAGTTTCACTTCTGTTTCTCCCTTTCTAAGACACAAAAATATCTTAGGGAATTACACCCTGTGCCCAACTTGTGGAGTGATCGTTTTTCTCCATCGCCCTCAATATGAGGGAGCACTTTCAGGCTCTTCCTTGGACACCCTTTTCCCTTTCTGTCTAAACCAGAGGAAAATCTGTGAAAGTAGGCGCTGCTCTGGGGCCCTTCCATACCCAGGGTACAGCCGAGGGCCTGGTGATCTTCCTGGCCAGCATGAAGTAAGGCGTCTCCCTCCTCCTCTCAAAGTTCCGTTCATTTTCTCAGCAGCAACTTGGCAAAATCGGCATTGGACATCTTGGGTGCCTCGGTAGCTGCTGAGGTGGGGACTGCCGGCTGCGGAGCGGGGCCGTTCTCGGCCTGGGCCCCTGGAGCGCCCGGGCGTCGTAGGGCGCGAGGCAGCAGGGCAAGCTGCGTCCTTCCCTTCCCCCTCCTGGAAGAGCAAACACTGAATGTACCCTTTCAAAGCAACAATTCGTGGCCCTTGTTTATTTTCAAAACTCAGCCAGGATAGTCTTAAATTACCCAAGTTAAAAGGTGAAAAATCAAAGACAAGAAGATCCCTGTTCTCGACTTTGGCTACTGGGTAAAAATCACTTTAACAACCTTGGCCTTTTCAAAATTTTGGTAACGACCAACCTGTGTGACAGTAGAGTCACACATGGAGGGGAAAAAGTGCTGTAATCTTTCAGACCTCACCAAATAACCATACAATTTTGCTGTCCCATCCCTATCAGGTCAAACACAGCTTTTACATGATTAGAGGCAGAGCCCTAGATTACTCTGGCAACACACAGTTGTCACATTTTGAATATCCACACAGATTTAACTTCCAAAGGGGACTTAATCACTGCAAAAAAACAAAACAAAACACTTTGACCTTAAATAAATCACAAGTAAATCTGCAAACACCAGGAAGGGTTCCACTTCTGGGCTTTGCACTCGGCATGGACTTGCTAAAGACACCCTGCTCTGGTGAACGACTGAGCATCACCTGGAACAGCAGGCCTGGCTTCCTGTCCGAACTTGCTGTATTAACAGGAAATGAGTTCATCGTGGCGCTGGCCAGGTCAGAGTCTGCACTCGCCAGCATGCAAACACTTACGCGCCATAAATCTGCCGTGGCACCATGGGGCCAGTGCCACCCGGGGCTTTCCTTGCCTCTGGCTTTTCTGGAGCTTTCCTCTGAGGCGGATTGCTGATGGCCACTTTGATGACATTCTCTTTGATAGTCATGCCATCCATCTTCATTACAGCCTGTGACGCCTGGGATTCATTTTCATACTCCACATAGGCCAAACCCTAAGAGAGGCAAAAACCCAGAACAAGGTCATGTGCCCCAGAGCAAGGACACAACTTCCTCCCTCAGGTCCAGCAACCAGTACGGGGCAGCACCGCCATCAGGTTACCTTCCCCACTGCCGCCGTCCTTTCTCTGTAGGTTTATTTCCCTACGCTCCTCCTCGTCCCTGCTTTTCCAACTGTCTGTAACTTCCTATAACCTTTTTAAGTTCTTTTTGCTCGAGCCAAAAGAAAAGAAGGGAAAAGACAGGAGGACCAGTATAAATCCAGCAAGCGAACGGATGAAGGGGCCTGGACCCAGTGGGCAGTTTGGGTGCCAGGTGGGCCCCAGTGTCCGTGCCTTCAGCCCCTCCCTCACTTCACACTCTTCAGCTCTCCGGTAACTGGGTAAGGGGAAGGGAGGAAGACAGGTAATCCGAACCTTGCTTATATTATACAGTAACTCAAAATGTGGTGCACAAAGGATTTAATAAGAGGCTGAAGGAGTGAGAGGGGAAGATGTGTGGGGGTCTCTGGAAGAGGGACCTAGGGAGAAATGGCTGGAGGCCCGGTGAAAAAGGAGTCTGGGCAGGAAGGAGCGCGGAGGACAGCCTCACAGCCGGGGCTCCGCACTGCAGCCCTCTGATACCTGATGTTTTATTTTATTTTCAAATACCTTACTCTTCTTAGTAAACTTAGCTACAAATGGGTTAATCTGACTCCAAAGTCAAGTAGAGCCAAGTCTACCTATCCTTCTGTTAGTATTTGTTCCTTAGCAGACCAACTAGGAGCCCACTGTAGAGCCAAATAACCTCTGAACAGATGTAAAACTCGGTCCACCCAAGCCACCCGCTCACACACCGACCTTCGGTCGGCCAGCCCGGTTGGTGACCAGCCTGATGTCCCTCACAGTGCCATGGGCCCTACAGATCTCTTCCAGCTCCTCTTTAGTGCAGGAAAAGGGCAGGCCTGAGACAAACAGCTTGTGCTTCTCCAGGGCAGTGCTATACCTGAACACCTAGAGGAAGAGGGAGGGAAAGAACATCAACAACTCAAAGCTCTACCCAGCACACCAGACTCTAGCTGATTCCAGCCTTGCCCACGGGTCTCAGACCAGAGCCCACTCAGGGTGCTGTGATCTATTAACTGGGTCACCTTGGGCAAGTCACTCAACCTCCCGAAGCCTCTACTTCCTCCTCTGTAAAAAGGCAAAAATAAAAGTCGCTATTCTCAGAGTCTGGATGAGGATCTAATAAAGTAATACAAAAACAGCACAGTCCTTGTCACTCCAAGCATTCGATGGCAAGCAGCCATTACGACAATTTCTCGTTGCATCATCATCTGTCAGCTAATGCAAGTTTGCAATGACCAGGCCACGAGTCAAACCTCAGTAAACCTGCTCAGAACAGACCCTTGGTTAACATGGAAGTTTAGTTCTTAACAGAGTATAAATATTCCACATATATTCTAAATATAAGCTGCTATGGGAGAAGTATTTCAGTCTGTCTGCCGCAACCCCATATAAGAGGCATTGTTTTTTCCACAAACATACCTTGAAGTCGGGGTTCTTGCTCTTATCCACGCAGGGGGAAACAAACATTGGCCTCCCTTCTACATTATTCCGGTCCAACTCCAGTGCCTGCAGGGCCGACTTCTCTTCTTTAAACTCCACGTAGCAGTAGCCTCGGAAATCACCCCGGTTGCTGAATATGGGGCGGATGTCAACCACTTCCCCACAGGCCTCAAAGAGTGGCCGCAGCTTGGTGTCTGGCTCGCCCATGCTATAGGGCAGGTTGCTGACAAAGACGGTGACACTGTCCTTGGTGCTGTCGTGCAGCACCTTGGGCACATCCCTCTTCAGGGCAGCCGCCCTCTCCTTCTGCTTTGAGGGGGGGTCAACATCAAGGGGCACACTTTTCCCAAAGAGTCCAGTTTCTGCTTCTAGGTCCTGGGCTTCTACAGGTGGAGGGATGCTGTTCTCAACTCTTCTGCGTTTGGGAGGTGGCTCTAAAGATGACCAGAAGAAAAACAGCAGCCATTGTTTCTTCTTTTCAGTGAGCTGTCCAGTGTCAGGGCAATTACAGTCAGAAAGCTCTCCCCACTACAAATGGTGACCCGCGACAGCTGCACGTGCTCACCATTCCTCTCTCAGGATGCTGTGGTGCACACACTCCCTGTCAAGTCTTTCGTAGCCCACCTGACCTGTCCCACTAAATTCTGGGCCCCAATTCTATCTGGGTTAGTGGGCTAAATCAAGTAGAAGTGGGAACGAAGTCCCCACTGTCCCCTCCTAATTATATAAAATGCTAGGAGCTCTCAAAGTTGAGGCAGCAAATTCCAGGGCCCTTCTACAATGCCCAAGGCAGCAAGGGCGGGATGGCACCTGGGGACCTGAGCTTAAACAAGCACCCTAGGTGGCTCTGAAGTATGTGCTCCACAGACCACACATCGCAAAGCACTACAATTCCTCAAAACATTCACTAGTGCCCTGTGTCCTTCGGGTGTTTAACATTCTGCACTGGCCCATTCTCCCCACTGCCAAAAGAAGAGCCAAACTGGGACCCACTGGTACTACCCACCACCACCACTTCCAGACCTTTCCATCAACTCCCTGCTGCCTTCCCGATGAAGTCTGACCACTGCACACTGCGCTCAAGAGCGTCACTGAGAGGCCTGCCCGGCTGCCCTGCCTGCTGCTCCAGCAGCACCTACCCTAGAACCCAGCCCTCAGCTTTGCCTCAGGACTCAAACTCAGCTATTTGCTGCTGCAATACCAGGGTGTTTTGTGCCTCATGCTCCGCTGACACTGGCTGTCTGGCTCAACCCTTCTGTTCTTTTTCACTTTACACTCTCCTCCCCCAGATCCCAAAGGGCATGTGTCACTTCCCCACAGTCTTTCCCACAGGGAGCTGACCCACTTTGGCCTCCACCATAATTCACACCTCCACTGCCTACAGTTCCGGTTAATGCCCCTCTGGTCACATGTCACATTTGCCTTACAGGACCCCTGAAGTGCCATGAGCTATCCACGGCCATTTCTATAGGCCCCAAACAGGTGAGCTAAAAAAGATTAACTGGATGATGACTCCGTTACTATTTCCCTCTGGCTAACAACTTGTACTGGGAAAACGTCTAGGGTCTTTTCAAGTCTAGAGAGAATTCTTGACCTAAGTTTACTGAAATAAATGTGACCCACACCTGCCCATTCCTGAAAGGCAGGGTGACAGAATCATGGCTGGAAAATTCTATCAAGTCCAAACCATAAGGTGGGACTCAGCAAGACAAGTGTCTGTGCAGGGCAGGGCTTCAGGTGTGGTGCAAAAAGTTGGAGCCTGAGTGGATGAAGGATGTCCACACACGGGGCAGTCACAGGGCCAGCGTGGCACTAACGGGAGCCCGAGCAGGGCAAGGGGCAGCATGAAGAAAGGTGGTGGTATCAACGGCACAGTGTAGGGCATGGAGGGCACCCACACGGAGGGCAGGCAGGGACAGGAAGGGTAAGGGAGCAACTTATTCTCAAATGGCTCAGGGACAAAGTTCTTCATACTGTCTTTGTAATTTCTCTGGGAGTTCGAAATAATCCTAAATAAAATTCCTAGAACACTTTACCTTCTTCATCATCGCCCCACTCCTTCTCATCGTCTTCATCTGCCTTGTGCTTGTCCATGCCTCGGGTCTTTTTCTTCTTTTTCAATGCTTTCTTCTCAGCCCGGGCCCTCTTCCGTTGTTCGGCCTTTTCTTCTTCTTGCTGGGCGAGGGCTGCTTCCTTCTCCGCAGCCTGGAAAAGTGGGGATGTGACGCATCACTGGAACCAGCAATTACATGAAATCTACTGACTGATGATGAAGGAGGCAGAAAAGGTGCTCACAGGCCTGTCAGGGATCCTCTACCTTCTTGGGATTCTGTATCTCAAGTCTACAGGATGTTTTGCAATATCCCTGGTAATCACTCCCCAAAGAAAGAAAATAAGCTATAAAACTCAAGCCCTAATTAATTTGGGAGTGTTCATGTTCCAATCACTGGACTAAGTGAGGCTCCTTTTTTATCTTTATCATCGATTCCAATAAACTCTAGGGCCACAATTCCCCCACTACATATAAAAAGCATTTATCACTGGGACTTAAGTTTTAAACAGATCTAAAAAATGATACAAGAGGGCCTTAAATATTGATTCAAATATGCCATAATTAATACTCAAGTAAAAGATACTTCTTAGGAAGACCTCAAAGGTTGACAAAGAATATTCATACCAAACACAATCAGAATAGCTATCAAATATTTCAAAGACTAAATAGTATCATTCATTACCTTAATTCTCTGCTCATTAACACGTGCTAATCGAGTTTCAGTTTTCTGAATGGCTATATCCCAATCTTCTAAAGTACCTTGATAGAAAGAGAAGCAAAATTTCACTTTTCAGGATTTTGAGGGCTATAATAATACAAAATTTCTTTAATTTCCCCACAGCTCCAGAAAAGATCTCTCCCATTAGACAGAACTGGAGAGTCAGCTTCCCATTTTAAGAGAACTATGAGTGCAGGCTTGAAGTTTTAGAATTCAAATAGTCCTTCCAGGTTTTTCAAACATCCCTTTTTTTTTTTAGATCCTGAGCTCTGGGAAGCTATCCTGACTCCCCTTCTCTGACTCCTCTCCAATTGCCTTTTCCACCTATAACCCTAGACTCTCCTGTCATAGCATTACTTACACTCTTTTGGAATTGTCTGTTTACATATTTATTTTCTCCCTAGTCTCTAAGCTCCTCAAGGATAGGATGTTTATTCTCCCTCACCCCACTTTTAATTATGGGAAATAATGAATGAACAGGTATTTGACCTTGTCCTTGGGGAAGTTCTGCCTGCCTACAATATCCCTTCTCTTTTAAAAGAGAGACTTGAAAACCAGAAATCTCTTGTGGGCTCTCCAGGGCAGATTATGAAAACATTAAATGCAAAAGGTACAAGATGTCTACATTAAGACTGGAGGATTTTAAGAGCTCCTCAAATAATACATATAGGGGTGTTTTTCTCTTATTTGTTGTTACTTGGGTATTTTATTTCCAGTTCTGAGGAGTTCATAAAATCCAAGACCAAAATCCAGACTAATCCCACAGATAAATTCACTCTTTTCCTACTGGAAACTTTGTATTAAGGCTCTGGAATTTGACAAGGGATGTAGATATGACCAAAGAACACAGCTGTTTGCTGCTCAGCATGCCTACGGGTGTGGATGCGTGATGCTGAGAGAGCAGAGGTTCTCAAGTGGAACAACGTTGATTCCCAGGGAATATCTGGCAACGTCTGGAGACATTTCTGACCATCATGACTCGGGGCGGAGAGGACTGGTACCTAGTGGTTAGAGAGAAGGTGGTCCCCACCATATAGAATTTTGAGAACCTGTACTAGAGCAACAGCAAGAGTCCTCCTGTATTCGGAGAATCTGAGAAGAGTGGCCGGAGCACCGGTGACCACCACGGGACAGTCTAATCACAAAGTGCCATGTGAGGGGCTGTACCCATAAACTGTCTGTCCTTACAGACTACAGTCTTAAGACAAATGGCAAATGGGACAGACTCCAAGCCAGCAGCAGAGAGCCAAGGGTCCCCACCTTCTGTCCTCTCCATGGTGAGCAAGACTTCACAGACATGCTCTGGGTAGTCACTGGTACACTGCACAGCCCGGTGCAGAGCCTTCCTGCAGTGCTGGGTGTCACCATGTGCCCTAGGGCAGAAAACAAACAGTTGCTACCACCAGATGCAAAGCAGAAAGGCACACAGAGGGGCAGTTTTCCTACAGGTAGTGCCACAGAATCAACAGCTCTGCCATGACTCTAGCTCCTGAGGAGACTCTGGCCTCCAGAAGTACCCACAGCTATTCCTCCTCCTCCTCCAACAACTTTAATGGTTTCTCCTTTTTCAATGAGAGTCCCTCCAGTCAAAACTAAGGCTTCCTCCTAAACCATTCTTTCCCTTGGCAAGTAGGTGCTACTAGAAAATGCACCTGGGACCACAGTCTGCAACCAGGTATTCTGCCTTTACAGCATTCGCACATGCAACACATGTGGGCAGTCTAAGAACTCCATGTAACCTGGCAAAGTCCCTACAGAAAATCTGGGACACAGTCCTACCCCAAGGGAGAATCACTCATCAAGAGGACAAATTTCAGGCCTAAGGTCAGATGTTCTGGTACTGACATGGGATGATATACTGCTAAACACAACAGTTATAAAGTAACATTGTTACAATACTTTGGAAACTTATGCTCCCACTTCTGCTTTAAAAAATTATGAATATACATAAATATTATAAATACATATTAGAACACTAAGAAAAAGAGCAGTGGTTCTCAAAGTCTGAGGCATATATCCCTGAGGATCTCCCAGGGTCTCTTTCAGGGCATTTGCAAAGTCAAAATTACTTTCTAGTACCAAAACATAACTTTTTCACTGTATTGGTATTTGCACTCATAGTGCAAAAAGCTATAGTGGCCCTTCACACAAATCAAGGCAGTACATGTTTTTAACATTATGTGTGGTAAAAGTGGATGTACACACACAAAGCATTTCTTCCACACCGCAAAGCACAATGGCTGACACAAAGGAAACCATATGTTATTGTTTGGGGTACAAGCTGAACTAGTTAGTTTTTTCATGGAATATAATTTTTACTTGAGAAAACAGCTGATTGCCTAAAACTATGGTTACTGAGACCTGAGCACCTGAAAAACGTGTGAGTCTGACAGCTTCCTCCTTAAAGACTTCTACTAAGGTCAATGAGTCTATGAACAAATCCAATTTTTTAATACTGTGTAATGAAATGTGTCAATATGTGGAGGAGATGCATAACTTAGTGAATGAGTGTCTTCCAAATGAACAATCCATGTCAGAGAATCATGCATGAGTAAAAGATCCATTTAAGTGCAAAACAAATGAATGGATATTAATGTATAACAGAGTCTAAAAATTCACCAGTGAGGTTTCAGATTCCACATTGCAAATGACTTTTAAGAAACCAGCACTTGTTGAATTTTGCTGTACTTAGAAATTCTACAATTATCTGAAAAGGCTATTAAAATATCCTCTTCTCTTTTCTAACTTCATAACTATGTGAGATCAAATTTTCTTCACATTCTCCAGTGACAACATCACAACAGAGTGAACACAGAATCCAGATATCTTCTAAGCCACACTAAAGATATTTGCAAAAATAGAGAAGTAGTTACTTTTCTCACTAAATTATTCTGGGGTTTAGAAACAGTCTTTTCATAATAGTGTTATTTATAGTAAGTGTAATAGACTCATTTTTATTAAATGAATTAATAGAAGTATTTTTAAAATGTTTTATTTTCTAATATGGTAAATATTAATAGCTGTAACTCACATAAACAAAAACTTTCTAGGGTTCTCAAATTATAAGAGTGTAACAGTCCTGAGACCAAGAAGTTTGAGAACCACTGATCTAGAGGAATATTCAGCAAGCTTTAATAGTGGTCATCTCTGGGGCTGGGATGGGAAGAAACTTTCACTTTCTAGCACATATATTTGTAAATGTTCTATTTTAATTTAGGCATACATCATTTTTTAAGTTGGGGGAATAAACAAAATATTAAAAAAAGAAGAAAGGTAATGTAGAAATCTAATGATGTGCAATGCTCAAGTTACACTGAAAAGTTAGTCATATTCTTTATCTTTTGTGTTTTATAAATATTGGGCCTATCTTCGTTTAAAACTTTTAGAGGCTTATAACATATACTCTTTAATTGCATTTTCATTTTTAAAAAAATTAAGCATAGAAAAGTCTCAAAGAATATACCCAAATCATTATCTTATAGTGGTTATGTCTGGGTCTGTCACTGCAGATAATTGGGGTTTTTTTCCATTTTCCAGTATTTTCTATTGAACAAAAGAAGCTCCTCAAAAATCCAAGTCCAAAAATGAAAACAAACAAAAATAATAAATTGAAAGTAATGCATGCCGTAAGAAGAGCCCAGGCACAAAATATTTTCTTTGGTTCTCTAGCCCCGCCCAAAAACACACAACCACCTCTGAAAAAGGATGCTAAAAAGGCAGGCAGCCTATTCTAAGGAGCAAGCCCAAGGTGGCAGAAGTCAGCAAACACTGAGGACCAGTTACTTCTGACAAGCTCCACCCCCTTGTTCCCAAGGTGGTTACCTCTCCAGGTTGTAATACTCCAGCCACATATTGGCATACTTGGCGTTTCCTTTGGTCATGATGCTATCCCAGAGTTCCCGAGCTTTCTGCATGTTATTGCACAGTCGAGCCTAAAATGCATTAGCAAAGTCACTTAGGAAAGGACTCAAGCCTTATGACATCAACACAAATTACAAAACGCTCTTCAGACAGACATGCCTGACGAGCACCCCACAACTACCCATGTTACATAACTCCCTGGACATTCCCTGGGCTGCCCTCCATGGTGACAAACCCGGCCCAACCACTTCGCTTTTCTGCAGTGACAAGTCTCAAGTTGTCTGCCTACACCTCTTGACAGAGAACAGCAGGAGCCCAGGCAGCACTAAGATACTACTGGCGAGCCATTTGTTTTTTATTTTTATCAAGCTTAACTACAACAAGTGTTTAATCTGAGAGACAACATAGAAAAAACTGATGGAGAAACAAGGTCACCTCTGCCACTTACTAAATTACCTGGGCAAATGACAAACTCTGAGCCTTGACTGCCTCATCTTTAAGTTGGTTATAACATAAACCTCCCATCCAGAAACTAGCTGATAAATACTAGTTTTCTGACCTGACTCCTCATCAAATAAAACATGATAATATTATAATTTTATGAGCTGATCAAGGGCAGGTTTCATGTCTTCCTCACCTGGGAGTCCTGGTCCAGCCATGACACTCAGCCCATTATATGCTCTAACTTTCTGTCAAATCATTTGTCTTCCACTCCAGATTAAAGCCAGACTAGCACAGGGAGCAGGTCTACCTCACTGGCCAGCACAGAGTGAAATGCCTGGCCCACAGTATACATCAATATGCACTCATTACCGAGGCACCGAGGGAGGGATGGAGGAAGAAGTAAACGCATGACTGGCACTCATTCACTGCACAATTTCTGCCTAGTATTTTCCTTAAGATATAAATGAATAAATGAGATATAAAATATTCATTAAGATATAAAATAAATAAATGAGAGCTAATATTTTCATTAAGATACAAACGACTGGGCATCAAGCTCAGTAAATAACATGAATCCTGACACAGCCTAGGCCATCACCTGGGATGCTGACCTGACTTTAGCGGCACTATTAGAAAAAGGTCCTGCAGAGGTGGACAACACAGGCAGAGTTGTCAAAAGCATTTACCTCAATCCTAGCCCAGTTCTGCATAATCATGCAGCTTGGATCTCCACTCTCATTGAAACCTTTAAGAAGAGAATTAGTCAAAATTATAAAGTAATTTAGAAACAAGCAGCCTTTAGACGAAAGGGCACATCCACCAAGAACAGGATATATGCCAGACAAAGCAGTAGGCGGGAGCCACACTTACGCTCTTCTACCTCCTGTTTCAGATACTCCAAAGCGCGACTGAATGTGGACCTCAGCTCTTCCAGCTCTTTACTGGAGTCTGTTAGAAATTGCAAAAGAGGCTTAGCTTTATAAAACACAAATCATGTCTTTTTTTTTTTTTAATCCTACACTGAAATTCCTGGGAACCTATTATTATACAACTGGCATAATTCTGGGGACACAAAAATAAAATCGCCAGTCCCTGCCCTCATCACACAGTGAGGGACAAAGACAATGGAAGAGAGCCCATCACAGACAGTCACAACAACCCAGGTAAGCACAGGGTGCAGAGTGTCACACCGCAGCAGAGGGTCTCCGCAAGCCAGCTGAATGGCTGAGGGCCACCTGCATGTGTGCAGGTACCAGTGAGACAGGGGCTTCTGGTTGCTGTTTCTTTTTTTCTTTGAGGGTGAGGAAGGCAAGAAATCCTGCAAAAGTTCAAAGATTTAAAAGAAGCACAGCAATCTTATCTACAGAAGGAGAAATGAGAAATAAAACTAAGAGGCTAGCAGGAACTAGCACAAAATGTAAGGACCACTACTCTCTCCCTGTACAATCCACAGCATGACTGGCTGAAGACTTAAATAGCTAAAATTTCTAGGGGGAGCTACCAATGGCTGGTCTACGTCATTTGCCCAATCACGATGTATTTGGGCAACTGGGACATCTCACCAAGACGTATTAAGACAAAGTTCAGTTCTGGTATGAAATACATGAACTCAAAATACCTTGTTTGAAATCAACCCTTCTCCTCAGGTAATCAAGATACGCCTGCCAAATCTCCACATAATCGGTGGCCTGAATGAAGCCAGCACTCAAAGCTTTCTCGAAGGTCACTAGAGTTGAAGAAAAACCCAGGATTTGTTGCCAATTCAAAAAGAAGCGATTATAAAGTTATCAAGATTATAATAAAGAAGACTACTGACTATAAAATATTGTATGATTTTAAAACAATAATAAAATGCAGTAAAAGTGAAATGAGCAAGAGAGAAATGGTCAAAAGACAAGCACTAAATAGACTATTCTGGGAAGGGCACATTCTTCTACAAGACATCCTGCAATAGAGTTGCAGGTCAAGTGAGTTTGGACAAAAGACCAGGATGTTCTGAAAAGTCACTATGAATATCAGCATGTTAAAAAGCTCTAAGAAGCCAAAAATATAAGCAGTATTATCTCCCACTTAGAGCCCTTATTGTCAAATCCCCAGTATCCCAAAGTAACACCCTGGGAATGTGAATTTAATGAGCTGACACCAAGCCCTATGTTTCTGACTTGAGACAAAAAGTGTAGAAGTCTTCCCATGAAAACATTCGCACCAGCAATCACTCGATGCTCTACTCCATGCCTTTCCATGGCCAAGAGGTACCGACTCCAAAGGGCAACTGTCCAGGGGCAGTTTCTAACAGCACGATTATGTACAGATAACACCAAATCCTTTACTTTCAGCTGTCGATCCTATGATAAAGAATTCCAGGGTTAGGAGATAAAATTTTACTATTAAGATTTCACAATCTGAGACATTTCCAGCACAACCAATTGACAGAAGAAATTCCCTTAAAAATGTCTCTTGTGACTAGTTTCTTCAACAAAGAAACCACAAGGCGAAGGGGAAGAAGCCAGGTGGAGAGGGGAACCTACAGACTCAAACAGTGTAGGGGACATCAGCCAAGCCTACTATCTGGACTTGTTTGGATTCCTGATTCCAATCTTTTACAGCCTGATTCAAATATTTCAATTTCCCTATTGAAATATCCATCAACAAAATGTGATTTCTGAATTTGCTTCACAATAATATGGCAGGGAAAACAGGTAAAGACAGATGTCAAACCAGACCAATGCCATCAGTTAACTGTTGAAGCTGGGTGACGGGTACATACATAAGGCTTCATTCTACTAATCTGTCTACATTTACGTGTTTACATTTTTCCATGTTAAACAGTTAAAAGAAATCAATCTGTTACAAAGTCCTCAACAGTAAAATCACACAAATTTTTTTTACAGTTAGTGATCAGTTTAAGAAAATAAACACTAGAACTTACATGAGTTGGCAAAGAGGAAAGGAAGGAGAATGAAAGAAAATAAGAGCAGAGAGGAACAGCATGCAACTAACTCCCAGCACCCTTACTGATAGCTTTAAATAGATCTAAAATTGGTAAAAATGAAATGAAATTATAACAGTTATCTTACTAGGTACTGACTGTAACGGATCCATAAGTCTGGGACAAGGCAGTTCTCGACCAGGGCACGCTCAAAGATCAACTGAATGCGAGCAGGATCGCCGATTTTCATCTCAAAATCGATGTATGCTTGATATTCAGCCAGCCTGGGGGCCTCTGCTTGTAACTAGGGCAAAGGAGAATTGCAGTGAAGTTGAAATGAGCTACTTGGTACTGTCAGGAAGCACAGCACATCTTCATACTAAATTTTGGTGAGACTGGCTACACCAAACTAAGAATCACAAACCCCTACTCTAAAACCTCTGCTCATCAAAGTCGATAATTTCATGGGCAGAGTAAGAGTCTAAGTGCCTCTCCAGAGCAATAGTTACAAAGACTCTGTAAACCCTTTTCTAAATCCATCCCTGGACCACAGGGAATTTAAATCTCTAATCAATCGGGAACTGAATGAAAGAGCAACACTTTTGCTAATGACCACTGGCTAGCCATCCTTCCAGAACAGAAGTCGCTTTCTTGGCCCACTGAGTGGTTTGAATACAAATGCACTAGAGTAATCTGGTGCCTTGTGCTATTTCAGGCTTCTTATTCCAAGTATCAGCTCCTGCCAGCGCGCAGGTGCATGTAGAGCTGGAAGAGGAGACAACCAGAATTCGTTAGAGGCAATATCCTCTTACTCAACTTGGTTTCTCTTCAGCCATACTCTGCTGATTGCTGTTAACAAAACTCAACTGGCTGAGGATTTCATTAATGACACTCAATGAAATACAACTAAACACAATCATTCACATGTGAAAAAGGGAGCAACAGTATATGCAGGCCAGCAACAGCACACATGCTCTGGACATAAAGATGTTTGAGAGCCTCACTTTCTAGTAATAATGACAAGTTAGTTACCCCAATACACTGAGCCACTGAAAACAACTAAACTGTTGGATTCGATATAAAAACATTTTCTTGAAAATCATCAACAAACTAGCAATGAAACAAGAAATACTAAGAACAAAATCTAAGTGAAGGCAGCATAAAGCCAAGTGAAGAGGGTAAGCTTTCGCTAGCTTAAGATCTATTAAGAACTGGATCTTCCCCACAACCCAATGAGGCAGTATCATTATTGCCCCCAGCTTACATTCAAGGCGACCGAGACACAAGGAGGCTAAGCAGCAGCCCAAAGTCGGAGAGTTGTAAGTTGTACAGCTAAAATGCAAACCTGAGGCAGACTGGGTTTCAACAGGTTTTCACTCACTATACCATAAAAAAATACCAAAAACAGGGCCAATACACCTAACAAAGCTCAAGAAGGTTAAATACAAGATATGTACACCTAAACTTACTTACAGAACTATGGGACATTAAAACAAACCCATGAGATCTTAAAATTGGCCAGAGAAAAAACAAGGATTACCTTCAAAGAAGCAAAAGTTAGACAGCTGACTTCTCCACAGCTACCACAGATGTTTAAGACAAAAAGAGACATTTAACTACTGAGAGAACTATAACTGTCAGTCTAGAATTCTAAATCCTGACAAATTAACGTTCAAAAAGGAGAGCAAAGGCCTTTTTAAACAAACAAAACCAGAAAATCTGTTACGAGCAAATATCCAATGAAATGGACTTGAAGTAAAAGCAAAGGGATTACAGGTGAGAGATTTCGGATGCTTCAAAAGGAAGAACAAAGAGCAGGGAAGCGTGCAGTAAATGTAAACAAACTAGGACTGTATAAAGCACAACTAACAATGATACCTTGTGGGCCAAAAACATAAGAAAACAAGAGCATAAGTCTAAGGCCTGATAAATCAAATGAGTATTCCAAATCCAGTAAGGGGAAAAATACAACTTACAATGAACATTACTGTCAAATATATATATATTGTCAATATAAAAAAACCAAAAGAATCTATAAATCATTAGTAAGAATTTAGCCAGTCTTATAAAAAACTAATAAAAAAAACAGATTATATTTTATACCAGGAACAATCAGAAAATGAAATCTTAAAAAACTATCTTTTTCAATCGCATCAAAAACCTTAGAAATTTTTCTAAAAAACACGTTCAAGACACCAGATGAATTTACAAATTTATAAAACTTTACAGATGACAAGGCCTAAACAGCAGAGGCCTATACCATGTTCACAGATTGGAAGATTTGATATTAAAAAAGATGTCATTCTTCCCCAAACTGATCTACAAAATTCAGTGCAATTCCAATCAAAAATTCAAGTTTTTTAAATAGAATTTGAAAACTTGATTCTAAATTCAACAGAAGTTTAGGAGCTATGGAAAGCCAAGACCCTGTTGCAGAGGAAGAAAGCAGATGGGATTCATGGCACCTAGGATCAAAACCTATTATAAAACTAACATTATGACAGTGGGATATGAATCAGTGGGACAGAACAGAGAGCCCAGAAACAGACTCCGCATAAATGACAGCTCCTCTGACACATATGGGACTGCACATCAGTGAGGGGGGTGAACTGGTCAAAATCCATGCTGGGACAACCGGCTCCCCATACTGAGAAATGAAACTGGACCCTACCTGTTGCTGTACCAAAAGAATAAATCCTAGATGAAGACTTAAATGTAAATAAAATACAGAATAAGCTTTCAGAAGAAAACAGAGCTAAGTATATTCATCACTTCAGAGTATGAAGAGATTTCTTAAGCATAACAAAAGCACAAATCCTTAAGGGAAAAATGGTAAATCCAATTAAATTAAAATTCAGAACTGGTCATCAAAAGATGTCATTAAAAAAAGTAAAAAGTGACAAACCACAAACCTGGGTGGGGGGACATCTGCAATACATACAACCAAAAGTAAGGGTTAAGATCCACAAATCAATTAGAAAAAAAACAAACCAAAAGAAAAATAAGTCAAAGACTTTCACAGACACTTTACAAAAAAGGAAATCTGAACGACCAATAGATGTGAAAAGCTGCTCCACTTAGTTAGAGATAAAAGAAATGCAAATTAAAACTGTAACTTCAGATCCATCAGACCGGCTGAAACTTAAGTGTGTCAATACCCAAAGTTGGCTAGAGCAGTGCGAACTCTGGTACTGCCGGAGCGTGAAGTGACAGCCTGGGAAACAGTTCAGCGTGACCCTGTGGCCCAGCAGTTCCACACCCAGGTATCCACTCTAGAGAAACTCCTCTTCTCATGTACCAAAAGGTACCTACAGGAATGGTGGGAGCAACGCTGCTTCTCCTCGCAAAAATAACTGGAAACCCCTCTAAGAATGCGGATAAATTAACTGCAGTGTGCACACACAACTCTACAGTAGTGAAAACAAATGGACTGTAACTATATCCACAGGAGTAAAATCCAAAAATAGGTTGAATAAAAGAAAACACAGCATAATTTCATTATATAAAAGTTCAAAAATGAGCAAAATTAAACAGTATGTTAATTAAGGATATGTTCATAGGTTGTAAAACTATCAAGAAAAGCAAGGGAACGATTATCACGAAAGTCAGGAAAGTGATTACCTCTCGGGAGAGGGAGGAGGAGGCAATCGGAGAGGGGCACATGGGAGACTTCTAAGGTACTGGCAATGTTCTATTTCTTAACCTGGGTGGTGGGTACATGGACGTTCACTTTATTATTAGGATGTAAACTGTATGTATACATTTATACACTCTATATATTTCACAATAAAACAAATTTTAAAGACACGGTATTACTTTGACTATGGATTAGGGAAACGTATGTCGATAGAAGTTTACTGTAAAAGAAGCCAACACTTACCAGCGCTTCCTCATAGGGTTTGTATTTCTCCAACTGCTGTAGTGCTTTGTTATAGTTCTGAATTACCGACTCCGGTACTGGTTCTTCCGACCACTCTTCATACTCTGCAAATGTTGCCTCCATATCTATTGAAAGATGGATTCATCCCCAGGGTCTTACCATTAGGTTTTATCAGCTCAAACACAGATTAAACCATTAGACTCAAGTGCCACTGGCTCTTCCCACATCTGAGACCACAGCAATTCTTATGATTGAATCCTGAGCTCTTCCGGTGGCCTTCGACTCTGAAAGCACTGCCCCAGGCAGCCCTACCCACTAATTAATCAAGCCAAGTTAACTGAACTGATAACAATGCTTTAACACTTACCTAGTGCTTCCTGTGTTCTAACACCTCACATACATTAACTCATTCAATCCTCACAAGTCTATGTGGTAGATGCTATCGTGATCCCCATTTTGCAGTTGAGGAAATGCAAGCAGAGGGGTTACGTCAAGTCTACAGGTAACAGGAGGGCAAGGCTTTGAAGCCAGGCAGTCTGGTTCAAGTTCATGCTCTACTCACTATGTTTTGCTGCCTCATACTGACACATGAGATGACATCTACAAACCAGCTCAGTTCTAGCTTTTTTTTCATGTCACTCAAGGATTTGACTGGAGAACCACTTTATAATTTGTTAAATCCAATCCAAATAAACCATAAAGTGAAAATAGGAATAACATCTGGACTCAAGTAAACTTGCCTAGAGGTTCTGAGACTATGGGGTGCAAAACCCAAAGCCATGCCCACAGAACAAATAAGACGGCAGCCCCAAACTCTCCCCATGCTCGGAAAAACCCTTCCAGCGTGGCTCATGCTCAAGCACCAGGACCTCAAAGGCTTGGCTTGCCAAAAATACATTCAGCCAAAACAGGAGAATCCTTATCAAACTCCCAAGAAATTCAGATAAGAATACATTCAATCAACTAAACCAATATCGCCCCCACAGAAGAATGCTCGCTATGTAAGCCCATGTTAAATCCCCTTTCTGTTATGGAAGAGGTTACTCCTAAAGACAAAATGCTCCTAGGGGACCTCTAATTCAATAACGTTTCCCCAGAAAATATAAGGGCTCAGTTTCCCAATTCCTTGCAGTCTCTATCTTTGCCTCTCCAACATCTTAATGTAAGAAAGTGGAGGTCAGGAGGTCTTCCTTCTAGTCCTGTCTCTGACCTTCGAGCATTAACAATTCAAGATATGTTTTCACCAAAGGCCTCACCCACAGTGACACCATCCAGTGAGAGTAAGAACACCGGACACACTTGCCTCATGGCACGCTGCGAAAAGGCCTAATTACACAACATACCCCAAAGTGTTTTTAAAAATGAGGGCCATCCGTTGACACATCAGGGTCTCTTACCATAGAGTGGGATCGCCAACTGTCGCCGGAAGAGACTGTGGACTTTCTCCAGCTGTGAATCAAAGGTTTGTTCCCGGTCAAAAGGGGAAAGGAAACCAGCTATGGGCTAAAGAAGCAAATTCATAGTAAATGGCTCTTCCTACTTCAAAAAGTATTTCAACTAATCTATTCAAACGAAAAAAAAATGCATATGACCTCTTATATATAAGGCATTGTGCCAAATGCTCCAAGAGGTACAAAAATACATGTTCTCTCTGCTACTAAGTGTTTATGACGGGGGTAAAGGAAGAAGGAATATAAAAAACATACCCAAATAACTATAATGCGGCTGAACATGAGTATCACAAGTCCCCAAGTATTGTGGATTTAAGTGGCTGGCTTTAACTCAAACAGGTTTTTAGGACTGAGTTTTATTGTTATGAAGGAAGGAAATCAGGAAAGACTCCTGGAGGAGCTGGCAACTGGGATGTGTCTGCAGGCTTACTACCGAAAGCAAGAAAAGGAAACTGACTCCCAGTTAAAGGAACAGCATGAATTAAAGTACAGTGGCCAGGAAGTGCACGAATGCTGAGGGTAAGCAAGGGAGCAGAGTGGACGCAGGCAGGATTGTGTCTGACACTAGAGAGAGCCACAAATGTCAGGCAGAGCAGGGAACCTGGGCGCCTCAGCCATGCTAAGTTGAAGGCACCACTGCAGGTTTTTCAAGAGGAACGTCATCAAGAAGGGACCTGGCCAAGTTAATCATAATGATCTAACTATCAGAGGGCTCCACTATGTACCAGGAATAACTCTGTGCACATACAAACTTGGGGAGAGGGGACACTGGGAAGGGGACTGTAAAATCCTATTAATCACAGTCTAAAAAATACAATTATGATGGGGTTAAATCTGTCACAGTTACTATTGGACTCAGTTGTTTTTTTTTAAATGACATGGTTATTCTTGTACATTTGTCTGGAACCTGTAACTCAAACAGGAGTATTTTTAAGGATCAGGAAAAAATTGTAGGGTCATCTGCTTTTTAGTCAAAGAAAGCATTCTTCCTATTCCAGAAAGATATTGCTTTCATTTACTTTGCAGCCCACCCACTGAAGGTCTGGTGAAGACCACTTTGTTAACTGTGTTTTCCAAGACCCCTTACAAAAACAGCCCCGACTATTCAAAGGCAAGCACTGGTCAGGGAACGGGAACTCACCCGTGCGGCTTCCACAATCGCACTCTCGAACTCCCGATAAGCCTCCCAGATGGCGAGTCCCTTGGTCATATGTAAACCAACAGATGAGAGGGCCCTTTCAAACACAGAACGGACTTTCTCAAGGCCACCTTTCTGACCAATCCCACCAACTGAGTACTGGCCATACTCTAGCCAAATGTTCGGACCTAAAAGTGAGAAGTTTCTGTTAGATCAGGATATGAAATGCCCAAATATCAAAACTTGTTTTGATGCATATCAAAAGAAATGTGCCCACCAAAAAATGTACTCATTCATGCAGAAAGGTAAGACCCTCATCAATAAGCAGCTCAGTTTACCCACATTTACACTGCAGCCTTGAAAGCAAGCATTCTTAAACAGCGTTCCTACTGAGTATAATTTTTGAGATTTTACTGCATAGATAGTATATGCTAGGTGTTGAGAGTATGCAATACGACCATGATTATAAAGACCATTTATTAAAACTGAAGGAACCCTGTAACACACTTCAGTGAAAATGGTTACAAATCTCAGTCAACCTTCAGGAAGATTTCAACACATAGTATTTTTCAACTTTTGAAACTTGATTTGTTCTTAAGACTTCTGGTCATATTGAAAGAACAAAATTAAAAGCACCAGTCCTGTCACTAGAAACCCACAGTTTAAACTCTATTTTTAATGTTTAAACAATAACAATGGCCTGGCTGCTTTGTTTCTTTCACTTTCTTTTTAAACTTTGTATATATTCACTCCTGCAGCTTTAAGGCTAGACTAATGAATTAATAAGTTCTTTATGAATGCACTGACTCTTATCATATACATTTTGCCTATTAAGTCAATTTTCAGAAATATGAGAACTTCAGATGCCTATATACTAACCTTGTAAAATAAAAATACTAAAAGATAAAGAAGCAAATTTGAGAATTACTGTATGTTTTCCTAAGGTTTGCTTTTTCATTGAAAATAGGTTTATTTCAAAGAACTTAGCCAAACCACGTTCCCTACTCTGTTTTAATTTACCAATGCAGAGCTTCAATATGGGCTGCAAGATAAAAATGGATCTGAGCTAGCTCCTGGAGCGGAAGTCCGCAGTGAGGGAAGTCAAGTTTACAGATGGTCTATGAAATGGCTCCTCCTCTAAAGGGAAGATAATTTTCAACAGATTAGGTGATGGCTCCTCCCAATATTTAAATAATCTAGAGAGGGGCAAACATCACGAACAGTATTTTAAACTCAGAAAACCCACGGGTGCAGGGTGCATAACGACTATGAGGAATAAATAAAAGAAATGTGTCACTAGATCCCAACATTCTAAAACAGGCATGAAGCCTCCGCAATAGGCTCCTCCAAAGATACGGAATCCGCTCCCCAAAATCTCTGCAGAGCCAAAAGGCCACAGCCATATCCTATTAATGGCATACTGAACACCTCCTGGAGAGCCTGAAATCACCAGAGTAGGTGATACTAGTGAAAATATGACAATGATGATAATAACTGAACTCAAACTTTCTTCTGCTAGACCAATGCTCTCTTTTCTGGGTAGCAACATCTCACAGTACAGCCCATGACAGCAGAGACTGACGCTGGATACCACTGCCAGAAACCTTCAAAAAAGCCCACAGGGAACTTACAAATATAATCCTTCACGGCTTTCTCAAAGAGGTCGTACACGTGCTCTCTGTCCAGGCCATCCAGGGCCATGCTGATCTCATCATGCAGCCACTCCAGCCAGAGCTCTACAAAGATAACAGCACCTCCTGTATTACCACCTCCCTCACCAAAGGGCAGGCTGGGCTAGGCACAGGGACTTGACTTGAGTCATCAGCCTGCAAACATTTCATCATCTTGCACACAGTTCACAGAAATTCAATTCTCAAAACCTGCACCAAGCACATAGAAGGTTTATGCTATCAGGTAAGAGCAAATCATTAAAACCATAATATCCTGCACCCAATAGGCACTGTACATTTTGCCAAGTACTTACAGACATACTTTCTCATTCTATCTGTCAAACCTTATTAGGTAAGTGATAGTAATATTAATAGCTAGGCATTTACAACATACCACGCATGTGTCAGATGTGCACACAGAATATCTCATCCAATCCATGTACTACAGGGCAAAAATTACTGTTATCCCCATTTTGATGCTGGGAAAACAGTCTTTGAATGTTTACATAGTTTTCTGAAGCTAATAAGATATACAGCCAGCAGTGAATCTGAGCAATCTGGTTTCAGCTTCTAAACTCAGCAGTGTTATGCTTTCGGGGAGGAAGGGGATACAGAGCCGGATCTAGAACCAGTGTTTTCTGACTCCTTTCTCAAGAGTCAGAAGATTTAAGTACAAAGATGCTCAGTATAATTGTTTCAAATGAGCAACCACATAGAAATAACCTAAATGTCCAGATTGTGGAACAAATAAGGTATGGAACATTTACATTAAAAGTTGTTTATAAAAGCTTAATTGTAATACATTTACAATTACCTGGTTCTGAGAGAATGGAATACTGGAATAGGAAAACAAATACTGGAATAGGAAAGAGAAGGCAAGCGGTAAAGTTTAACAAAACGGAAAAGTTTTAACATAAATTAGGACAAATAAGTTAGGGTTCAACATGTTTATCAGTATTGTATAATAAAACTGTGTTTTGCAAAAACTCAAGGATGATAAACTAAAAATCACTAATTTTTGGATAATGGATTTCTTTAAAGTTTTTCTATAAGAAGCATGTCCTATTTTAGGCATTGAAAAAAAAAATGTACACACTTCAATTCTCTGTGTTTACACAAGCAGCTGAACTGCTAAAGCATTACCTTCAGTCAAGGGGAAGATCTCGCTCATCTTCTGGCGGGCTGTCCTCACCTTGGAAAGCTCCCCTTCCAGCCGCAGCAGCCGGATCAGGTCCACGTGGCAGTTGTAGTCATAGATGTTGATAGACAGCTAAAAGGAAAAGGAAAAGAAGCTGAAATGTAAAATGCCCTCATTAAAATAGCTTTCCTCACCACTTTAACACTGTACATGTCTGCACAAAATAAATGTGCTATCTGGGAGAGCCACTGCAGAACAGCAATGCAACATTTACTCTCAGGAAGAGGAAGAAAAAAATCAATGAAAGGGGTTTTCCATTATTAATAAAAAATAAAGTTCTCTCAAATCTGTTACAGTTCCTGTCAGAACACACCTGGGTTCTCTCTGAAATACAGAAAACATTCTAAGGAAACAAATGAATAAACCCGAAGTGTGACCTTAGGGAAGTTAACTTTTCTAAGCCTCTATTTCCTCATTTATATAATGGGGGTGGTACCACTGGGCTCGAGCTCTTAAGGTTCTTGTGGAGATTTTAAAAGATAATTTATAATCATGCTTTAACACCTGCCAGGTACATAGGGAAGATTTCTATTAAACAAACAAAAGTCCCTATTGGGAGGAAAAAGAACAGCAAGACTGTTATCTATGGAAGCTGAGTAATAGGTATGTAAGGTTTACTTTTATATTTGAACCTTTTCAAGCTAGAAGTTGAAACAATAAATTAAAATTCCTTAAAAAGCTATGTCAGACTGACCAAGGAAGAAACACAAAATCTAAACAAGCCAATTACCAGCAAAGAAATTGAAGCGGTAATCAAAAAACTACACAGGAACAAAAC